TATTCTGTGATTACAATTAATAAATAAAAAAAACTGCTTTGGACCTATAGCAGGGCAGAACTTAGGTAGGCAGGAAAACTAAACTGAATGCTGGGAGAAAGAAAGGCAGAATCAGAAAGAAGCCATGTACTCCTCCCAGAGGCAGATGCTGGAATTTTGCCAGAAAGTCACTGCCAACTGGCGATGCACAGTTTAATAGAAGTGGGTTAAATTAATATGTAAGAGTTAGCCAATAAGAAGCTAGAGCTAATGGGCCAAGCAATGATTTAAGTAATACAGTTTCTGTGGGATAATTTTGGGGCTAACCAGCTGGGAACCAATAAGCAGTCTCCTCCTACACACATTCTGTGCAATTAGACAGAGTGGAAACTATTCAATTTTAAAAATATTTGTATTAATTTACAAGTAATATGGTATAAACAATAACTGTACTTTATTTTTAATTTTTTTAAATTTCCTGTCCTGGAACTTTCTACATAGACCAGGCTGGCTTCAACCTCACAGAGATCCACCTGCCTTTGGCTCTTGAGTGCTGGGATTAAATTCGTGCGCCACAAAAGACTGTATTTTATAGTTAGTTTTTCGAAGGTTTCTTGTACTTTTTTGTAGTTAACCTTAATATATTTTCTAATTCTTGACTTTTTATTGAACTTGTAATTTTCTTATTTGAGTCCATTTACTTCATGTGGAAAGTATTGACAGAAATTCATTCACCCTAAAATTTAAAAATAACTTTAAAGGAATCTCTACTGACACTGGTATTTCTCGTTTAAATGTACCCCTTTAAAGAGATGTTAAATAATATTTATAAGATAAATCGATACATTACCATTGTTGTATTGTCTGTGCTATCTAATCGTGGTTGAAAGTTGATACAACTGGAAGAGGGAGCATCAGGTAAAAAAAAATCACCTCTAGCAGATGGGCCAGAGGACATCACCATGGAGGCATTTTCTCAGTCGCTAGTTGATATAGGAGGACACAATCAGCCCACTATGGTCTGTACTAACCCTGGACAGGTAAACTGGGCTAGGTAAGAAAGAGAGCGGAATGTGAACTTGGCAGCAAGTTGCTAAACATCATTCCTCTGTAAATTCTGCTGCAAGCTGCTGCCTGGAGTTCCTGTTTTGGTTTCCCTTGATGAATTGTAACCTGTAAGTCAAATAAACCCTTTCCTCCCCAGTTCATATTGATCACAGTATTTTATTACAGGAACAGAAAAGTAAATTAGACTATCACTAATTCATTCCTTATAGAATTGAGCATTAATAGTCTTACATGAAGTTATTTGTGTTTGCATTACTGACTTCTTGACAATTATGGTATTAATATGATTGCATACCTCGTACATTCTGTATCTGCCAGGAGTTTTTGTGATCAGTAAGTCATAAATTTATTTGATATAGATGAAATTGCATACTATATAGCTTCATAATCCATGTATTTGCAGTAAAATTTTATTGTGCTAATGCTTTGTTTCTCTGTATATAGTTTGTGTATTTTATCCTTTTGAAAGGTTGTGTATGTGTGTCTTTGTGTTTGTATGCACACATGTACACATGCATGCAGATACATGGTTGAAGCCAGAAGAGACTGTGAACTCCCAAGGACCTAGCTTTACAGGAGATGGCAAGCTACCTGACATGGTACTGGAAACTAAACTCCAGTCATCTGCAAGAGTAAACACTTATAACTACTGAGCCATCACTCCATCCCCATATTTTGTCACATTTTACAATAATAAAAATTTAAAAATGACTGCAAGTGCTTTGTTCCAAGTAAAGTCATCAAAACCACAGGTTTCTAATACTTTAACTTCATAAATCTATTAGAAATACAGTAAAAGCAAATATTAACAAACTTAGAAAGCAGAGTAAGCTGTGATTATTACCATTAATATTTAAACAAAATCAGAGATATATGCAATATGAAATTGTAGTTAGTATGCTATATTATAAATTGAAAGTTGTTTAATTAACCGTATTTACTTTGCTCCAATAACACTTAATTCTGAAGAAGAAATAATAAATATGATACTTACTTTAGAATTACTAATATCAAAAGATATTATTAAATGTAAAGGTTAAATATTGTTATTTTTCTGATTTATATTTGTGTAATTTAAAATTTCTGTTTGAGAGTTTTATCAAATACTATATGTGAATTTATTTCTCTGATAATTTTTAACATTCTCTGAATGATTTTTTTTAGAATTTTTTTAAAAATTATTTATTAGTTATACAGTACTCTATTTGCATGCCAGAAAAGGAAAACAGATCTCATTACATATCATTGTGAGCCACCACGTGGTTGCTGGGAATTGATCTCAGGCCCTCTAGCTCTGAGCCATCTCTCTAGGCACTCTCTGAAAGAATGTGAAGAGTTAAGAAACTTTAGAGGGAGAATGTTTTTCCCGTGTGTTGTATGTAATTTAGTGTTTATTCGTGTGTTATGCGAAGGCCGATTGTGGCTGTCAGATGTCTTCCTCTACTGCTATCAACCGCTATTGCTATTATTTTATGTTAAATGAATGTATTTATGTACTATTTTATTTAGTGTGTATGCACACGTGTGCATGTGTGAGTGGTACAGAGAGCTTATGGAGGTTGCAGAAGAACTTGCCAGAACTGGCTCTGGTTCTTTATATCATGTGGGTCATGGGGATCAAACTCAGGTTGTCAGGCTTGGCTCCATGTTCCTTTACCTGCTGGACAGTCCCATTGTCCACCACCTTAGTTTTTGAAATAGGATTTCTTACTGGACCTGGAGTTTTCCAATTCAGCAGGATTAACTAGCAAGTGAGGTCCAGGAATCCTCCAGTCTCTGTCTCTCTAATTCTAAGATGGCAGGAAAATAGTGCTGAATGAGCCCTCTCCCTAGATGTTAAATAGAGAAACATGGCTGTTCAAAACAGATGTGTGTGTTCACCAGATTCTTAGAGTAGCGATGTAACAATTGAAGAACTAGGTCCAACAAAAGGACTTTTGTCTTGGTTGTTTTTCTGTCCTAACTCTTGACAATTAGTCACACACACATACACACACACACACATGTAAGTCAGAGATTGATTCTGTTGTGCCACAAAATAAAAGACTTTTTATTTGTATACAAAATTGATTCTGAGCAAATTTTTTTTGAGAGTGATTCATACATCTGTCAATTAAATTATACCCATGCAACAAATTAGTTGTTAAAAATGCATTTTACCACCTCTATTCTATGAACCTTTGAATGATAATTGGCCTTGATTACTATAAATACATATACATAATATATATATGTATATATATGATAATCTTTTTGAAATATGTTATCACAGTAATTATGAAGAACTTGAGTAGTAAATGTCAAGTGTGATTTCTCTAATATATCTTAACACCTTGCAGTTAGTCGGGGCTATTTTATTATCTCCAGCTACAGGTACACACTTAAGTCACATGATGAAAGTAACCCCCTACTAGTGGTTCTATTGTGTTTTTCTTTGCTTGTGATAATTGTGAATACTTTATACTGATATGTCAGAACTACAAGCTGGAAACATCCTAGAACCCTAACTTACTACATGGATTGCACATGTCCCAGGAAGTGGCTTCCACACATGACTTGACATGGATGGAGAATGAACTTCTCTTGTATTCAGTCATTGAGATTTGAGGGGTGATTAAATATTGCATTATGCTAAATTCTGAAAAATCATACCAAGAACTCTGTCAGCCTCAGTTTTGATTTACCAGTAAGGAAACTGTGTATATATTCTTCTAATTATTTGGCTACTACTTTGATTGAACTTGCTGTGAAATTAACATATCTCTACAGAGATATAAGTTAATTTAACAGTTTATTTTTATGTACAGCATTCTATCTAGTTGAAGCGTGCATTTTATCTAATATTTCTAGTCACTTAATTGTTTTCAAATACATAAGTGCATGGTAACAATTATATTTGACCCATAAATGTTGAAATCATCCATTTTATTTGTAACACTTGCCCAAGGACATGATTGATTATGTGAAATGTGCTCCACCCGTTAAATTTTGTTGTTATATTTTGTACTTGTCACTAGAATATGTAGCATGAAATATTTATGTCTCCTGAGGAGCCTTAAATATGCTTCTCAGAATTTGAAGTAGACAATAGTAGTAGTAAATATTTATTAATTGCAAAGAATGACACTAGACTGTATGAGATGAACAGCATGAATATGGAGTTTCATATTGAGTGCCAATGTACACATTGATGTGTAATTTGTAATACGTTTGACATCTCTGAAAAATGGTTCTGTTTCTTTATAAAAAGAAATCATACATATATTGAATGACACCGTTTTTGCCCCTCTGTTTTTAAATCCTCCCTCTAATTATGGGGATCTGGAGAGAGAAAAACTTTTTATCAACTTGATTATCATAAATATATTTGCTCATATTTTGAATAGCTGTTAAAACTCTATTCTCTAAGTACCGAGAAAGAGTATTTGACACTGCTTCCTGAGTATTTGGCACTGCTTCCAACCTTAACGAACTCAGAATTGCTGGGGAAAGATATTCAAAAGGAATCATATGTGTGATAATTTCATAGAGTAACTTCTACAAAGTTAACATTGTATGAGTAATGATTGGAGAAGATGTTAGACAAGATGATATTTGACTTGAGACCTAAGTGATGATAGTCAATGCTCATGCAGATCTGGTAGTCACTTACTTTGGGGTCCATGAAACATAGATACAACTTTGTAGTAGATATCAACCGATGGTTCCAACTTAACTCCTAGATGTGGAATCAATGCTTTGTACTAAACATAGTTCTCTTGTAATTAATGAATAGAAAATTTGATTCAGTGACTATTTTTGGTGATAATTCCATATTCATACACACAAATCATTAAATCCGTAGATGGCATCATTTGTTTTTAGGTATCATTCTTCATATTACAATTAAGTATATAATATCAAAGTTGAGTTTCTATGTTATTGAATTTTGTGATGCTTGTATTTTTCATTACCTGGGTTACTACAGTGCCTTCCAGATTATTCTCCATACCCGTAGTTTTTCTCCAATTCATTTATTACATCACTGAAACTTAACACTAAATTAAATGCTTTTAAGAAGTCAACTCAAGGACTGCAATTAATCCCATAGTTACTACTGAAGTTCTCTACTATATTCACTTGGTCTTGCACGTTGCTCCTCTCACCTAACAATTCTTGGAAATTTGGTAAGGTTCGTTCAAGTACATGCCATTCATTTTCTCTCCACCCTAACGTAGGAATTGAGAAGTTTCTTGTTTACGACATATTCCATTTAAAGAACTACGCCTATGCTTTCCCTTCTAGAATGTTCTTATCTCTCCTCATTCCATTCTGATTCCTTTATAGTTCTCAGCTGTGAATTATTTCAGTCATGAGAAAGGCATATAGAATACGATAGCAAATATTATGATTTATATATTGTTATCAAATTAAATATTTTGTTAAATTTGTTTCAGGGTTTTTTTTAAACAATGAATGGACTATAGAGACATTTCAGTTCTCTTGGTTATTCTTTCATTGTCTTCTTTCCTAACTCCAAATCAATCACTACTGTGACCTTGGCACTTTCCCTCCAGTGACATTATACAAAACCTCTCTTTGCTATGTAATTATAATCTCTATCTGAATTTGGAAAGTGAGAGCTGATAAAAGTTTATGGAGCAAAACATAGACTATTATCTGAAACCACTTGTTTCCTGAATTTCAACAGCAAATAATGTTTTGATAGAGGTTTAAATAAAAGCACATCAAATTTATTAATTATTATTTAGATAACAATAATGTACATATTAGGTATCTTTGTAGTTTTACATTATTTATGTCTATTTTAGATTATATAAATGGTTTCATTTCTACTACTTTAATAGTAGGGTGTATATTTGCCCAAACTGACCTGATTTACCTTTAATTACTATATATTATTACATAATTAACTCATAACCTAATGGTATCCACTCTGTTTTTATTATAAGAAGGTCTTACTGAACATTCCTCCCATATTTTAAACATGCTCACATGTAGGGATTTCTCTAGATTTTGAGTCTATGAAGACAATCCAAGGATAAATATTTAGACTTATTTCACAAGAAGACATTTCCAAGTTGCATTGTTAAGTGTAGTCTTAACAATTCTACTCCCCTCATGGTGGGAGCTCCCATTTCTCTATTTCCTTCCCTAAAATTGGTTAGTCAACAATTCCTCTTTATTTCTACATGCTTTTTCCCTAATCACTAACTTGTATTTTAAAATATCTTAAATTTATTCTTTGAAACTTTCATACATGTATAGAATGTATCTTAGTCAGACCTCTCCCTGTTCACCAGAACTACCTCTTCTAAAACATCTTCCTTCCATTTTTTGTCCTCTTTTAAAACTTTTTGCTTTCATTATATTTCAGTGTACTGAGTGCAATTAGTGATGCCCATATATGCATTTGCCTATAGCCTACCAATTGTAACAGTATCTTACACTTGGATGTGGAGGCTCTGATCTTGAAGATTGTATTACCTTAGAATCCATCCACCCTCATGTTTCCTGGAACTGGAGTCTTCTATTTTGTGTACCTGTCACAGATACTATCTCATTTTCATTATTAGTTCACCAAAGACATCCTCTCTCAGTAACCTATAACAAATAGGAGTCATCTTTGTTTCTATCTATCTTCCTATGTCTTACCAAAAGCTTTAACATCAGCCATTTTTGTTTCTATCTTTCTGTGTCTTATCAGAGACTTACGGTCAGTCATCTTTGGTTCTATTTATCTCTTATTTCTTATTGAAGAATTTAGAGTCAGTGTTTTATATGTAATGGGTAGCTCCTTTTTGAAAAATTTTTATTTTGTTTTTACATTTTTAGTAAATGGTTACATGAATGAACAAATGATCAGCTTAGTTGTGTCTTTTTTTTTTTAGTAAGCTAATCATTCTTAGATCCTTAGATTAAAGGAAACTTCTTTTCAGGCCTAACCATTCACCTCACACTCTAGACAATTAAAGTCATAAATTATCATCAATTGAAATTTACCTTTACATTTTCCCTAGTTCCTATCTGCTAATCATAACAACTCTGTTCAAGTATTACATGAAATAAGAGTAATGGTAGGGGGAGTAACATGAGTGATTGTTGCCCTTCATTTTAAGTGTCCTTTCCCAGTAAAACACTTTGGAGCATTTATGAGAATGTATGAGTAACAAAGGGAATTGTTTTGATCACAACTCCCAAAGAGAAGGCTCAGTGAATTAATTGTAAACAAAGTACAGCTCTTTATGGTACAAGAGCACTTAAATGGTTGATTGTAGTCTGATAAACTATAAAGAGAGGAGTTTAAATTTAAATTTACCCTGGAATACTAACTAAAGTTTTAACAATCTTTGTTTCAATTTTCATTACATAAAAATAATACATTAACAACAGTCAAGATGATTGTTTATAATTTGTATCTATAGGTTTTTGGAAGTGAAAAGTCTTAAGTTTCATTTCTCTAATTAAACCTTTGAATAGTGCTTAACTACTGAATATTTGACATAGATTATATTATTGAATATGCTTATGTTTTCTGAACAATTTATATAATTTTTCTTCGTGTCCTATGTAATAAACAACTTTTAGGAATTTTAGAAGAGTCCAGGAACATAGCTGAGGTAGAATTCTTAGTTTTGCATTTATCAAAAGATTAGATACTACAGATTACATATAGTGATTGATAACATTCTCAGGAAGGTTTTCATGAAAAATATAGTGCTTAACAACGACACCCTAGTTTTTAAGAACCAAATACACGTGATCATATGACTCTTGTTCAACATCTTCTAAGGTTTTAAAGAGGCTTTATGACAGATCACTCAATTAAGGGTCAGCTGTTTGACGTGAAAGGAGAACCAATGTGATAAATGAGATCAATGAGTTGGAGAGAGAAGAAATGGGAAGGTTGTGCAGTATGAGGAGGAACATGGTTCATATAAAATATACACAAATATGAAAACTATTTTAAAAATGAATTTGAATGGAGGCTCACTATGTAGGAGGACAAAACCACTCTCAGAAGATAAAAGGTTATTAAATAAAAGTCCTAGTGCTCATTGATTAGTCTGACAATTTTGATCAAGGAAATTTCTGGAGTGGGTAGAGATCATGACATGAATCTATAATCAAAATGCTGAGAATAACTGTTAAATGCTCAGCCTTCAACATCTGTATCATTCTGTATCCAAGACTCAGGGAACATTATGGAAGACGGGATGGAAAAATTTGAACGAAGGAAGTGCTGTAGAAGATTGCTTACTGACCATGAACTGTCGGTTGCTGTGGTGCCTACAAAAGACCCACATGAGATTGGGTCTGTCAACATGCTGTCATTAAGGGATGAGAGGCCTTAATTGAGGATTAAAATCATTGTCTTTGTTACAGAAAATAAATAGGTTTTAGAAGCAGATAATAAAGCTTTAATCTCTTAAGTCAAATTTATACTTATGTTGAACATGAAAATTTTAACTTGGTGGGTAGAATAGAGGATGAAGATTCATAAAAAAGGACAGTAACACCAAGAACTATACATTATGAAGAATAAATCGCCACTTGGTTTGTATTATGATCCTCCCTCTTATCAGGATGTATGTGGGACGAGTTTATCCCCAAGAAAGAAAGGTGACAGGGAGAAAGCAGGCCTTAACCCAAGGGCCTGTTCTATGGTAAGACTTCCATCTCAGGAGATCAATGACAGAAAAACATAATCAGAAAGGCTGTTGTTCAGAAGGAATTTTGAGAGCAAAAGTGTAGGCAAATAAATACTTGATAGAGGCTAAAAAGGAAATTAAGTCAGTTAGATCAATGACCCTCAAGTCCAGGAGAATTTCTGAGTTTCTGAACATTTACAAAGATGTAGAGGCACTATGGTGGAAGGAAAAAAATTTGAAGAAACAGTACAAGCATAACTTTGTATTGGGTTTTCTGGAGCTGGTAAGTAAAAGAGATATGATTTTATTGTAATAGGGCAATAGGATAGCAGCAGATGTATGTGTATACAAGCATGTGAGACAACAGAATATAAGTAAGATCTTAAGGGAGAAGTTTATAATATATTGCTTGGAAGGTGACTTGCAGGTCAAAGTGGGAATTAGTGACACCGTTCCAGTTGGTGGATTAGCCAGAAGGAAAGCACAATGGTATCAATACACTTGTGACAGAACTGTGGGTAAGTTAGTTATTACTAAAGGCTCACTGTCTAAACAAATGAAGTTGAACTGGAAAGTTTACATGGCTAATTCATGGTAAAACTGAATGTTATATTATTAGTCTTTGACTTCTAACACTTGAAAGGTTTTTGAGAGGAAAGACTGGTAAGGCAAAGGTGCATATAGAATTTAATTACAGTGAACTGAAAAAAAATCTGAGTGTGAAAAGCTGAAAGCAAAAACAGCAGTGAGGAGCTCCATATCAATAACCCAGTAAGAACAAATCCAGCCCTGGGTTAAGGAGTAACAGTGAGATTTGTAGAGGAAGGGCATAGATGAGGGATTGGATTTAGGAGAAAAAAACAGTATGAACCACATTGGTGTGCGACATAATGATGTGCTTAGTGTCATGGAGAAAGTTGGGATTAAGTATACTTTGAGTCTGAGTTGATATGCATGGTCATGTCACCTAGAATAGGCTATTGTAACAAACATATCCAAAACTTTAATTCAATTATATAATATTTATTTTTCACTCAAGGATATATCCCAGATAGATTGTAAGATATGTATGCTCCAAACAATCACTCGGGAATCCAAGTACCACAAACACCACTTTCCCCTATGGTAATTGAGATCCCAGCAACTTGAGCAAGTCAACCTGGAAAATTGCTCAGGGACTTTGCTTTCTTCAATGAAGCATCACACATTTCTTCTATCACAGTTTGGTGATGTGGGATTCCCGTCTGTATGCTGTGAATATGTTTTGTTACCATTGGTTAATAAAGAAGCTGCTTAGGTCCTATGATAGGGCAGAATTGAACATGGCTGGAATTCTAAGCAGAGATAGAGGCGAAAAGAAGGCAGAATCAGGGATACAGAAGCTGGAACTTTACCCTGTAAGCCACAACCTTGTGGAAATACACAGAATAATAGAA